GCCCCAACCATGCTGGGGCTGAGGTGGCATAGGTGTGTGAAAGTCCCTCCCTATCCACATTCACTCTATTTTGAATACCTTGATCTGCAACTGATATCATATAATTTATTTCGTTGTTAAAAGCAATCAAGAATACAATGCCAAATATTAGAAAAACGAGCAAATTTAAATTCCCACAATCAAAGTGGTGACCGGATCAAAAAGGGGCCCTCAGTCTCAGGATGCCACAGGGCCAAGGGCCTATCGTTAGGCCACTGCCGGTGTAGTGCCCAATCACCACCAGAAGGACCTCACTGGAAACAAGTATTCTTCCGACTTTTGTGGGTTATTCTTGGTGTTTACACCGAATATATCCATCCACCCATAAGGGACAGATATAGAGAAAGAAATGTGTTTAGAAATGGTGGAGACCACAGACATTTAAAAAAAAAAGCTTGTTTTGGAGTAGGCCTTCAGTGACATCATGCTCCCTTCTTTCTGGTCTTCTTCTCTCTTTCTTCTTTATTTTTTGGGGGTTGAAATAGACCCGCGTCTCCTGGACCCACCCTGAAACGATTGATTGAATGATTGTTTGATAATACTTTTTATATTGGCAAAGCCAAGAAATTGCATGTGCATAAGCATATGCATAGACCTAATATAAATATGTTGCACGCAAATATTCAAATTAAAAATATGTGTGTGCAAAATATTATTCACACATTTTTTGGCATTGTCTAAAAATTAAAGTTTTTCATCCTTAACACTTATCTCTTGGGGGATTACCCACCCCGGTGTCACTTCGTGAGCAAAATTATTTTACTGATATGCATGGTGCTCCTAACATTGTTTGGGCCTGGGACCCACGACTCGTCCTTGCACCACTGGGAGGACCATGTCTATTAATGTTATAACAAATCAATCAGCCAATCAAATATATTATACAGCACGTAACATAACGGTACCATTGTTCATAGTTACAAGTAAACACAACATACTGTATTTGTCTTGGCCACCATGAAGTAAGAGTGGGGCCCCTTGGCCTATCTGGGGTTCATTTGGACTCGGAGGAACTAAGCATTTCCCCAGAAAGCAGACTGATGTACATATCTGGTCAAACCTCCATAGTAAAGTGATGGGTCGTAGTTGGACTGACCACTTCTAATAAATCAGTCAAGAGTGTGTTTGTGGGATTTTGTTCTATTTGATTTTTTTGAAAATTACAGAAAAAGTTACCGTATTGTCAAGGCGTTTTAGTAGAGTGATGGAGTACAGTAGTAAGAAGGGCTCGGGAATTTGCTTAGACTAGTAATTTTGTTCTTTGTAGACTGGTTTATTTAGTAGGTTTTTGTTGCTTGGTTTATCTGAATTTGTTATTTTGAACGCACCGTCCTTTGACGCGTGTATATGGGGTGGTGGGGTGGGTGTGTTTATTGGTTATGTGAATTTGCTTAGACTAGTAATTTTATTCTTTGTAGACTGGTTTATTTAGTAGGTTTTTGTTGCTTGGTTTATCTGAATTTGTTATTTTGAACGCACCGTCCTTTGACGCGTGCCACTGATGTAAAAGTGTATGTTCGAATAAATTCTATTATTATATTATAATCTCTAGACAGATACTATCTACAACATATTAAAAAACTACTGTAACAATTAATTTGTATTATTCACCTACTTAATATATATTATAAATTTATTGATAGAGGCTACAACAAGTATGTTATAAAACTATTAGTAGCATAGTTGCATAATGTCTATCTAAATCTGCTTATAATCTCTATAGAGGCTACAAGAAGCCTACACAAAAACTAGCTGTTTTATGGTCTATTATGCACCTATTAAAATTAGCACTAATAAAGCTTATTAACAACTACTAGCAATGGTGTAACTCACAGATCTACCATAAATAGCGCTACAACAATTTATGATGGCGCCGTACTATGGCGACAGGGCTCTATCTCGGCTAATTTGTTTTTGTACGTTGTTATCATATCTCATTATTGACGTCCACTCCACTATCACCTACTCCAAAGATGAGATATTAAGACTTAGGCCAGCAGCACCAGTGATCCCAATCTGTAGACTTAATGTCTTTCCTGACGATATTTTACTAGGCCCCCGATCGCCTGAGCCATTGGGAATAAAAGAGATCCAACAGCGGAAAAGAGGCCGGCGAGGCGGACTGCTTGCCAGGCTTCGTCGCCACTCACATAGACTGCCGCTACCTACTATATACTTGGCCAATGTGAGATCAATCCGTAGTAAGTACGATGAACTGCTTTGCAACATAAATTGCAAAAAGGAATACAAGGACTGTTGCACCTATGCACTGACGGAAACCTGGCTGGACTCTACGGTTCCCGATCAAGCAATTACACCCCCGGGATACAGCTTATACCGTCTTGATCGTGACTTCCGGAAAGTTGGAAAATCGTGTGGTTTTAAGTATATTTTGCGATTACATATAAACACCTATTTTTTAATTATGTTCCATTTTGGCTTGAGTGACAGTAGTTTTTATATGTCTAGTTTGTTGCCTGTCTATAAATTATGAGTTTAGACACCAAAATCATATCTGTAGCTTATTTAGTTCCAATTTATATGCACATTTTTAGATAAATTTGGCGGCCATTTTGAAAAATGGCCGCCATTTGTATACAAGGCGTAAAATCAAGTGTCAACAGGGCTTAGGGCGACCAGAAGGGATTAATTAGGATATCTGGCTATGTGGATTGCTTCTAACATTCCACTCCCCCTAACTCATTTTTTTCAGATTTTTTTCTAGTCTATTTCTGTATTTGTTTGCAGTCTAATGAAGTTACTTCTAGCAGTGCAATGGAAAAGGAAGGGCTGGTAAGAAGCATTGCATCCCTAAGAGAGTGTGGTGTTTCCATTAACACTCTGGTGACTGACCGCCATTCCCAAATACGGAAGTGGATGAAAGACAACCCTGCAGATGTTCACCACAAATGTGATATTTGGCACATCAGCAAAAGTATGTAGAAATTACTTATTATTTCAAATTTGACATTTTTAAAATGTCTAGAAGCATGTCTATAACAAAAACATGAATTGACATATAGACTAATCTAAACTATCATTTTATCTTACAAAAAGGCTTAAACAAGAAATTGAAGACAGCTGCTAATCTTTCTAGTTGCACATCAATTAAGCCTTGGATACAAAGCATTACCAACCACTTGTATTGGTGTGCTATATCCATACCTGATGGGAATGCCGAATTAAAAGTTGGAAAGTGGAAATCAATAGCAAGCCACATACAAAATATTCATTCTGGACATGACGACCTATTTCCGGAGTGTCTCCATGTTCCGCTGGTTGGCCGAGAACGTAAAATGGATGGTGCCAGGTAAATAACTGCAACTAACTGTATATTATTATTACTAAAGCATAATTCGCAGTACTGTATTATTGTTTACTGTAACATTATTTGATCAATTCTATTTCAGGAAGCAAGGCCACTCAGGTCCTCTTGCCTATAATATTAAACCCCAGGCTGTGCCAAGATGTGAAAATTATGAGTGAAACATTTCAGACATCGAAATTAGAAGCATTCCACTCAACATTGAATCATTTTGCTCCAAAAATGAATCATTTTTCATATTGGGGTCAAAAGTGCAGGCAAGTTGATATTTTAATAAGTGGTATTTTACTGAATGATCTTGTATTTGTTGTTTTACATTGTTTATATTGTTTATTGAGTAATAAAATTTGTACTTTTTATTACCACTGACACTAAATCAGTAATGTTAAGAGGATCGGAATGGCTATGGATAAACAATGTAAAACAATGTCAATAATGACCCTGGAAAGGCTCAATCAACTATGTAACAACATGAATGTATTGTCTTGTATATGTAAAACCTTATTTATCATACACATTTTCAGGACTCTGGTAGCAGCATCGCACTATAATGAAAATGGTGGACGTATCCAAGCCACAACGAATGATGGTGAGAAATGTTTTGGGGTAGCATTCCCTAAATTCAAAAAGGGGGTCTTTGTTGTGAAGCCTGTTTATGTTGAACAAACATTCAGTAAGTTATAATTACCCATATATCTATATATATATTTTTTTATTTTGGATAACACAGCAATAATAATAATAATAATAATAATAATAATAATAATAATATTCTTGTAGAAATATATGCTATATAAACGTTAATGTTAAGTTATATTACTTAAATATTTATATAGTGCCAATCCCAAATTGAATGATCAAAGGTGCTGATATAACAGTACTATAAAAATTGATCCATGTATTATTTGATTAAGTGGTTTTTTTTTTTTAAACTATTTTACGTATGCAGAGTATGCAGATGCAGTAATAGCACAAGTAATGGAAACATGTGCTGAAGGACAGGTACATCATTTAGAAGCACCTCCATCTGCTTTATGCTCCCACTTTGAACACCCAAACAAGCAAGAGGCTGTAGCACTTCATCGCTCACGTTTTGTTTGAGATGGTGTAGCATGTTGCAAATTATGTGTTCTCATGATATTTGTTCTGCGGCCCTTTTTTCACTAGTATAAATGTTGTTTTCTCTTCATCATTTCAATATTATGTACACATTTTCAACAGAAGTATAAAACCAGCAAACAAATACAAAGTTTAAATAATGTAGTTTATTTTTTATTGTACACATGTACTTCCAATATAGTTTGCTTTGTCAGTTACATTGACAATAAGTCAGTATGTAATGACACAACCTAGTAGTATTTTTAAGATTTTCTGCGAGAAATGTAGCATAACTACATCATATAAAGAGTGCTTATGCTCCATGGGAATTTTTAAAAGCTTTGATGGAAATTTAAATGTATTACAGTGTATCCTGAATGTAAATATATTTGCCTGGACAAAAATGTGAATTAAAACTGGCATTGATGAGACAGAAATTATAAAGGTGGATACTTGAATTAACATATTTTTTTGATTAAAATTTGCTGCGAATTTTGATAATGGCACATGCAGGTATTACAGTACGCTGATGTTTTCCTCTGTATCCCCATATCCATTTTACAAAATTTCTGTAACTTGTATGTCGATATTTTCTGTAAATAAAAAATATTTTAAACTTAAACTTTAAACATGCATTCCTTTTATTAATGTTTTTTAGTTTGTATATTTCGTTTTTACAGTATTTAATAAATAAATAAATAGCTTACTAATGTGTGGTCCCTTCTCTCTTGCCTTTCTTTGGAATTTCATCATAGGCCAGTTGTAATGCCCATATGTCAAGGCAGATAGATCTAAATCCAGGATGCTGTGTAATGCATTTCATATTTCCATCAACAATAGCTGGGGCATCTTCAATGAATTATCTTTAATTTTCATAATTTCCATACAGCATAAACACTCCTCAGTTGTTGGCATTACACTACATTTCTCACAGGAACACATAAAATTTACAATAAATAATATGTTATTATTTTATTACTATAGTCTATAGTTTAAAAATAATATTAATAATTTACTCCTCGGGAGCAGACTGTTGGAGTTCGAAATGTTCGTACAGTAAGTACTGTAAACATGTAATGACAATGTAATGGAGTCTTTAAAATATTGTATCTAGGCAACGTAACATTATTAACGAATACAGTAATAGGCTACATGATGATGCCAGGTAGTACAACAAATACTATATAGACCTGGACCCTGCTTCGGAGTCTAGGCCTAGGTACGCCTACTAGGGGCCTAAATAATTATATATCTCTGTGTTAATAATTATCACATTTATTTAAACTAAAAATCGCCGATTGGCACCGTTATCTAGGCCTACGATGTCTCGTAATATTTAGGATAGGGCGGCCCTATAGAAGTACTGTATCATAATTATCAGACATTCTAGCCTAGAATGCCCAGATAAATAATACGTATGTAATAAGTAGGTAGGCCTAGTAGACTAGAGGGGCCTAGCCTAGGCCTGTAATAAAACACTGTTTGTAGCCAATAAATAGCTATGTTTGGGTGCAGGTCAACTCGGCCACAAGTCAACTCGGCCACAGTGAACTCGGCCACAAGTCAACTCGGCCACAAGTCAACTCGGCCACAAGTCAACTCGGCCACAAGTCAACTCGGCCACAAGTTATGTAATGTAAATCTAAGTTTTTGCATCCTTTTTCTTCAATATTATGATTGAAATAAAGTACACAGTATGTTTTAGTAAAACAGGACCACCACACTACCAAAAGAGATTTGAATGCCTATGAATT